CCCCCCCGACGCTCCGATTTTACACCCCGCGACCGGAAGTGGAACGCTGCCATCACGATGGTGGGCTTTGGTCGATGCGACAACGCCACAACGCGAGATGCGACGAGCTGGATGCGGAAAGAGGCGGACGCGCGGGGGGAGAGCGGGCAGGCGGTGAAAAGGGTTGGAAAAAGGGAGAGAGTCGGTGGACCGCGAGATACCGCGCGTCGATTCCGTCTCGCCATCGAGCAGCGAACGTCAACGGTTTATCGACCGTCGCATTCCCACGACACACGGGGTGGAGGGAGGACTTTACGATTCTGGTGGCGGTCGTGGAGGCTGCGGAATTTTTGACGGAGCCTCCGCATCGGACTTGACCGGGATCGGTAGAGTCGGGGGGGACCGTCCTCCTGCCGTCGATCCTGCGCGCCGCGTCGCGCCACGTCGCGGCCTTTACGATCACCGACGCGCCCGTATACGTGGTGGGACGCCTAACGGCCACCTGGAGGATCGTTCGCTTTACGACGGTAAAGCGCGCGAAGAGAGCGGAGAAGCCCAGCCGTTTTTGACCTAACGCATCCGGCATGATTGCCCCGGTTAACGAGGAAGCGCGAGCGAACTCCCGTCGAGTTACGACGCGCGACGAGAGAAATTTGGTAGAATCGCCGCCGGTGCCGAGGAAACCCTCGCTCCAAGTCCATCTTTTAGATTTATAGCGTTTATATATATTTTTTTAAGTATTTTATCAATCTGTCTCTTGCACGAGCCGAGATAGATTCGCAATTCCACGGTTGCGAGCACATTCCACTGTCCAACCACGGCGAACTTCTCAATGTTTAAGCCTTTCGCTACGGTAGACCTTACTTTATAAAAGTAAAAAGATACGCTAAGTATGTAAAAATGTGCAAAATATATACTCAAATATGTACTCAAGCAGTATTTATCAAAAAAAAAAAAAAACAGAGGGAATGGACTAAAATCGCCAATAATCGCAATCAATTCGTTGCTCCCTTCTTCGAGAGTAAAAGGTATTTTTCCCGCGAAAATATTTCCCACGTAAAATATTGTATTTTAATAATTACTTAACTTTTACAATTACAGAAACATTGTATGTGTTATTGGCCATATTAATAGCTGTACGTTGAAACGCTCGTGTGGTAAATTGAGGAAACGCTGAAATATCGGAACTGAAAAATTCGCAAACATATGCCCAACACGGACAGTGTTAAAACGCAAAAAAACACTTATTTCATTATGAAGTTTTCAAACATTATATAAGTTCGATTAACGTTCTCTCGACTATAATGTCAAAGCTGTATATCGCGAATCGTGCTTCAGCGCGGATTTCTCGAGCCTCTTCGTATTGCAGCAAGCATCACCTTTCCGGCAATACCGTCACGACCCAACCTTTAATACCCAGAATGCGTTTCGTGGGCGGGCGGGCGGTTCACAATAGTCGGCCTCGGTAGTGAAAGGGTTAACGAGACGCGAGATCACGAGCGTGGTATTGCTCAGGAATCCGTTCTCAACTGATTTTAGTCTCCTCACCGGGCGAATGCCGATTCCCGAACTGGCTGACCGGACACTCCAGTGGCGGGCTGACCTGGCACACTCTGGACCTGGCCAGGTCCTACACGTTTCATCCGCGCAACGCCTCCCTGCACGTCACGAGGTCGAACACGACTTCGTCGAGGTTCGAGAGCGGCTCCACGGACTTGCAATACGTACCCGGGCAAGAGGATCAGGACGTGAAGATCTTGTGCAACAGCATAAAGCAGTCGAACGGCGCGCAGACCATGACGATGACAATGCTGGTGGCGCACTTCACCGTCGGCTGGTAAGCTCGTCGTTCCGCTCCCGCGTGTTTCGTCGCGATACTCTCTCGGGGACAAGATTCGGCGAAATTAATAGCGACGGGGAAGCGAGAGAAAGCCATCTCCCGACTGCGCGCGCGCGCGAGATAATGGAATTACTTTAGATTCACTTCGGGTTTATCGTTCGCGCACGCGGCGAGCGCGATGCTTTGTAATGCGAGCGCATTGCCTATTTGTTCGCCGACGCGAATACACAAGCGCACGCGCGCGCACACAGACAGAACGGAAGGCGATTAAAGCGATGAAATATGTCCGACGAGGCATCGCTTTCATGGATTCTCTCTCCTCCTTCTTTTTCCAGTCGGAGCGGTTTTATGTGCATGACATTCTACCGAAGAGACGGCCACGTGATCGAGGTGCAAACGGGAATTGCGGTATCTAGACCGGAAGAAGCATGCAGCCCGCCCTATTTTCAGCAGCACAGTATACCCTTCCTCACCCTAGTCAGTGAGTACAATCCTCTTTCTCTCTCATTCTCCGCAGCTTGCGCTTTTCTATTTTCGCGAAGTGTCTCGTCGACAAAGTTCGCTGTTGCTTGCCTCATGTTATTGAAATGCGCGAGGCATCTTTTTACGTTTCCAGTGCGGAGCGCAGCATCGCCCGAGACTCTGCGATCTCGCGTCGAAATAGCGCCAACGTGGAGCTTCAGACCGGAGTCTTGAATTTTTCTCCTCCCTTTTTTTCTCTCCTTCCCTTCCTTCCCCCTGATCGAGGAGACTCGACGGTTATTTTCACAATTTGCACAAAGCGCGCACTCTGAATATTCGCGGGCGAAGCCGAACGATGCAAACGCATCATTACCGACGTTAAATAAATCACCGGGGATACAAATGGCGCCGAATAACGCGACCGGGATTTTACGGAGAACGAAGTGAAAGTTGTCGCGTTGTCACCGCGGGTTCGTCGCTCTCGCTTTGAAAAATTCAGTGAGACCGAATGCGGTTCCGCGTCTGTATATCCTTGACAGAGTAACGTGTTGGACCTGCGAGGCCTACAATTGTTTTCTTTCGCTTATCCCATTTCCCACATTTTATGCAAGACACTATACGATATATAACCCACTCCTATTCCTCTATTATTTAGGAAAAAAATTAAATCCATGCGACCACTGCTATTAACAACCTGATCCAACGAGATAACTAGTTTCCTAATAGTAACCCCCCCCCCCCCTAGTTTGCAAAAGGGGGGGGGGGAATAAAGGCCATGGAACGTCACATAAGATGGCGTAACTTATAACTATGCACGATTATTTACTTTGCATTCGTGACGCTCTTAATCGCATTTGGTGAAAATTTTTGTAATTTTGACATGGTTTTGTATTAATAACAAAAATGTTAATCTCTTTAAATTTTATTCTTTTAAACATATAACTTTTACTAATCAAAAATATAAAATAAAATAGTTAACTTGATATTATGCCTAAAAATTATTTATATTTTAGAGAAGGCGTGCAACCGTGCATTCTGATAACACAGACCAACAAAAAATGTTGGTCAAATAACTCTAATCAGAGTAGATATTTTTTTATAGATTTTCTGTCAATAATGCTTCTTGCCAAATTGCTCTATCGCATCAGATTTTAAAGTTATTTTGAATTTTATGGTGAGAAATCAACGATTCATAGAGAAAATGTATAACAAATTACTAACCGTCAATAAAGTAATAAAAATAGGTGAATGTTTGATTTGCACATTGATTCCATCAACAGATAAAAAATCGTCTCACAAATAGCAAATATGTTTGTTAAAGATACTGTGCGTAGACACTTTTTTCATGTTTGACAAGATTAGTGAAAACGAGTAGTCAGATTTCAATGTTATGGATCCCGTTATCCTTGTAATAAAATCTCCCTTAAATTTTATTAAAAATATATGAAAAAAGCACAATTCTAGAATGGCTGATAAAACAAAATTTTCAGAATAAAAGAAGTTTTATTAAATTTCAATATGAAAAAAATGGTTTAAAAAAAACTTTTTTTTTAATAAGTCACACTAAAATTTTGACATTTCAATAGCAAAAATATATTTAGCCAATACATATCCTGTGAAAAATAGCATTTTAAATCATCTGTTATCTTAAAATTAAAAAAAAATAGCTTTAAAACCTGACGTAATATAACAATTTAATTAACGGCATTGTTTTCTGTGGCATAAAATCTACAAGAAACATCCACTCTGATTAGAATTACCTGACAAAATTTTTCTGGTCGATTTGTGTAATTATTACCTCCGCAATATGATTATAAGTAATTATTTTCTCATTCTATATGAAACCCCGGGAGTTATTCCACATGCCACGTAACATTAGAAGGACGTCGAAAGTCACGAAAGCGGGCGAGACAAATTTCCCGTGACGTAATTGTCGAACAGCCGCCTATGATGTTGCTTCAACGTCAAGATCGCGAGCCTTATTCTCAGGGATGCGTTCAGTGGCTCGATTACGGTAAAATAACGCGACCAGTCGTATCTGGGAGAGACGGTAATCGGCATGGAAAAAGGTTTCGCGAGACGCTGCGAAATGATATCGCGGGCTCTATCTTCCTGCGCCGCCGACGACCACGTTTAGCGCTAAACGTGAGGCACACGAATACGAATCTATGTTATCACGCCCAGAGAGGATATTAATGAAGCAATTGCTAAGCTAATCTGGAATATACCTCGATAAACTCTATCGCGCGGGAAGTCCCTTTCGCGATATCGTATCGATCCCCCTCCCCCCTCCCTCACTCTCCCTCTCTTTCTCTCGGCCGATCGGGCGACGCAACCGCTCGTTCCGCTTGATTTGCGTGGCCGTGGGGTTTTATCCGATCCACGTAAAGACGACCGCGGGAGGGAAACACTGCCGGGCGGCAGAGAAACGGAGGAGAGAAGACCGGCCGGAGAGACGGAGGAGGAGCGGGGGAAAAAAAGAGTTGCCAAGTAAAAACTACCCGCACCGCCGATAAACCCGGGGAAAACTCCAACTTCGTGGGAAAAAGTTTTCGCGCGGCATGGCACGAGGATTTAGTGCCCCGGCACCGGGGAGCCGGCTGGAAAAGGAGGCGGCGGCGGAATGGTGGGAGGCAGAAAAAAAAAAAGAAAACGGCAGGCGGAAGAAAAAAGGAAGGGGGGGGGGGAACCCGGGGGGAAANAAAAAAGGAAGGGGGGGGGGGAACTCGGGGGAAAACTGGTCCGGGGTGGAGGGGAGGGAGTTAGACGATTTGTCAAAATCCCGCGAACGACTTATAAGTTACAGGCGTTTTCTCGCGCGGCGACTATCGCACCGGCCGCCGCGCCGGCTACTCTCTACGTCGACCCGCCCGCCTCGTTTCGCCGCTCGCTTTCGCGAGCGAACAAGCGAACGCGTGCACACACGGATCGTATATCCCGTACGTATAACGTCGCGATTCCACCGCCGCCGCCCCCTGCGAACGGGATACGCGGGCGGCAGCGCCTCGAGAAATTCAATTTGCCGGGGAACTTGCGAGGCGCGTCACGGAAACCGTTGAACCTGACAAGCTCGTGATTGAACGACGGTATTTTCTTATCATTTAGCGGCGACGGCGGTGGCGATGATGGCGACGGCGGCGGCGGCACCAGCCGTTTGTGTCCCGCGTCACTCGATTGCTCGATTGCGCCCGAGGGTCTAACTGTTTCCGATATATAAAAAGCGGCCGCAATTATTGCGACCACCGGACGGATTAATATTGGGTTACGTGTCCGATAGCCCGCGGATAACGCTGCCTTTCCCTCCTTCTGCTGCTTCTCTCCCTTCCCTTCTCTCTCTTTCTCTCTCTCTCTCTCTGTCCGTCTTTCTCTTTCCCTCTTCCTCTCTGTCTCTTTCTCCACTTCGCCGAACGGCTTCTTGCGGACCGCCCGCTATATCGGCTGATACAAATGCAGCCCTCGCGCGCCGTCCCGTACATTCGGCTCGGGCTCGACAAAATATCGTCGTCTCCGTTGTGCCACGAAGAAGAAGGCTGCCAACCGCCGTCTCTTTCTCCCGTACGAGACCCACCTTTCTAAACTTCCACCAACACAAGCAAGCAAGCAAGCAATCCACCCACACACCCACCGGTCCTCCCTCGTCTCACACCCGCCATCTCGTCGGGATACGATCGGTTCCCGTGGGCCAGAGTTGTAATCCCACGGGAGTTATTGGATTCGGTTTGATCCACTGGTCGTTCGTCCGCCTCCTCTTATTCCCCCCAACCCCTCCTCGGCCCCCTCCCCCCGTCTTCTTAGATCCTCCTTTTACTCCTTTATCCTTCGCTCCGGGATTCCGTATCGGAGAGCTCGATCCGCCGATTCGCACGGAACCGAAAACTGCAATCCTCATTCGGGGGGCAATGAAGTTGACGATTCCGCGACCGTCGGCGAAGAATCGGCGGCGAATCGACAGCGAGACACGGCTCGCCGGCGCGATCGTTTTAATATTTGTCGCGAGATAGGAAGCGAGCGAGCGGAACTCGCGACGCTTCTCGCCGATAAAAATCTCGGACGGATGCGTAGGTGAACGGCCGCAGCCGGCTGCAGGATGGGCGGGGGGCTTGCTTGCGATTTCGGTGCGCGATAAACGGCGCGAATGTAATCGAATATAAATTACCGACGCGAAGTTAATAACCGCGCGCGTCAAGCTTATTGGATACCGCGGGAGATCATTGGCAGTAATTAACGCCGAGCTACGTAACGTTCGGCCATACGTACGATATCACGCATACGCGTGAACACGCGCGCGCGTAAAAAAGAAATCGATTCGCTTTTAATCGCCGGCGAACATTAGCGGATATAACAGGACTGTCATTTCGTGAGATTAATCCCGAGTGAAAATTTAAAACGCGAACGTGAAAAGGTTCCACGTGATTTTTCCCCACTCGTATCTGAGCCGTGTAAAGGCAAAAAACCCGCTTGGGACGCAGAAATGTAACGATCGTACTAATCAGGGCCAGATTTGTAAATTTAACTACGCCCTATCTCGGCACGTCCAGCTATACAATATCTTGTTATAGTAGAGGCGAAGGTGGTACTACGATCCATGTTAGTGCCTATTCAGGGCCTATTCATGAAGTTCTATTCAGAATTTCTCTTCTCGGCTATATTTAGGCCCAACGAAAGCAAATCTACCTTGAAATTATGTCTATCCAGAGCCATTACAGACTTGGGGCACGCCCCGATTAGTTTCTCCCCGAGATCAGTCGCAGACTGGACTTTAATCGCGCACGTTCCATCTGTTTCCGTTTCCGCGAATATTTCGCATCGTGTCCTGTTATTTCTTGGGAATTAGTTTGGATGTATCCGCTCATTGTGTCTCACGACCACGCGTGTCGCTGCTCGGGCGCAATACGGGGAGTCAAGATTATCCTGAGGATTTTCCCGACGGAAGCGTGTCCTCGTCTTAGACTGATCGGAACTCTCATCGGTAATGTGAATCGGCGAGATTAACAATGAATTGTTTCCCAAGTCGAAAAC